TGTTGCTTATACCACATCATCAGTGCTTTAGCACACCAGCAGGGAAAGTCTAAGTTGACTTAGATCAGGGTTTCTCAACCTCTGGTCTACTGACAGTTTGGACCAGATCATTCTTTGCGGTAGGGGGCTGTCTCTATGCATTGTAGGATATTTGGTAGCATTGCTGGCCTCTACACACTTGATGCCAGTAGCATTCTCTCTAGTAGAGACAACCAGAAATGTCTCTAGACATTGCCAAGTGTCCCCCAAGAGGCAAAATCATCCCCAGATAAAAACCACTGGCTTAGATAGAATCACAAGACTGCCCGACTACCTTGGTGTACGAGGTACACCAGAAGGCAAAGGGAAGGTGGAAAGTCTCCAAAAAGGAAGTCAGGATACCGCTCCCAAAAGACACGGGGATTAATGCTTGCTGTCCATGTCCACATTGGGAAGGAGAAAATCCTAGGAGCAAATTAAGCTTGAAACTCTGCTAGAGACAAAAATGACAAAACTGAAGCTGTCCTACTTCGGGCACATCGCAAGAAGGTAGGGATCGTTGGAAAAGACAGCGATGTGGGGAAAATAGAAGGTGGCAGGAAAAGAGAAAAACCAAATGTGAGATGGATTGACTCCATAAAAGAAGCCACAGGCATGAGTCTATGGGACCTGAGCAGGCTGTTGAGGACAGGAGCAGTGTGGACGCCACTCATCCATGGAGTCACCGGCCAACTCAATGGCATATAACACACACAAGCAGAAAGTTGAAGAAGGTTAAGTGTCCCAGCCCATGGATTCAGAGAACAGGAAAGAAGAAGTGGTAATTAAGAAATTTCTGGAAACAGGTTGCAGAGAAAGTCATCAGAACGCTGTCTCAGGCCTTCCCAATGCCGTGANTGGTAATTAAGAAATTTTGAAAACAGGTTGCAGAGAAAGTCATCAGAACGCTGTCTCAGGCCTTCCCAATGCCGTGAGTTAGCATTCATGTCCTAGTGAGGTCGGTGTCCCTTTCCACTTTTATTCGAACTCCTCATGTCTCCCTGTCTGTTTTTAAATCCTGCCAGATCTTCTCCAACTCTCGGTACCTGCGGACTTGCGGTAATTGACGTGGCCAATTTAAAGAAAACTGATTCCAAATCCCAGAGAACACCCAATGCATCTCTGTATTAATTAGTTGGTTAACTCTGTTGGTTCCAACATGGTGCTAATGAGACCAAAGACCTGAATCCAATCCTCATGCCATCTGGGCTTGTTCAACAGCCAGCCTGGAGCCCCATTCCAACCAGCCAACTGACAGATAGATGAATGTGGTTACTGGTGGGGAGGTGGGGAGGTCGGGAGGGTGGGTGTGTCCAGACAACCCCATGCCCACGGCAAGAACACGCTGTATGGCACCTGCCCCCAGGAACAGGGTTCTGTCATCCTCACAGGATACAGAGCACAGCACACACCGATCCCGGTACCTCTTTCCCAGCACCCCAACGTGGGATGCCACATCTTTTCCTCTCTCCTTTCCAGCTCCTACCTACTCATAAGAGCTTCCCTTGCTGCTCCCTTTCCCTTCTGTTCATTAACATTTCTTAAAAACTGGTTCAGAGCTTCATCTCCAATCCACACTGACTCTAAATTCCCTGATCCCACCATCAGCAGCAAGACTGGGCTTGTCTCTTCTCCCATTATTATTTCTGACAGCCCCAAAGAAATCACTTAATATTCATTTCAGTCTCCTTTTTCAGACAGTCTTAAAAATCAATTTCAAAATTTTTCTTCTTGATCCTGTCATTTAGCACTGAAATGGCCCAAACTGATCACTCGGGAGCAGAAGCATTCCTCCCTTCTCCTTCCAGCACGTCAGCTTCACTTTGCAAGTCTGTTCTGTTAGGATTTAAGCTGGCTTTCACTTCAGGGTTGTTGTTTTTCACTGAGAAACATGATTTTTTTAGCTATATTTGTAGAACAACATTCAAGTACCTTAAAAAAAAAAAACCCGCAGTAAAAGAATAGGCAAAATACTTTGGCTAAGAGAAAAATCAGATTCAATGGGTAAAAAAAAAAAAAAAAGGAAAGACTAATATTGCAATTATTCTAAAACCTTCAAAAGGGCCATTCTAAAGCCTCCACTTTCCAAAGAGTAAATTAGTAACAGTTATATCATCTATTTATTAATAAGGAGAAGTTAAAATAGCCATTCATGATCAGATGCTGAAACCTGCAAAGAAGCCAAGAACAGGAAGAAAAGGGTCTGAAAGGGAAGAAAAGGTAATGGCAGCTTTTCTAAAGAAGAAACAAAGTTCTTTGTCTTTGCTGCCTTTCTGCGAACAATCTGGAGCATTCAGCCCATTGTTACTGTTGCTGCCCATCTTCCTTGCTATTGTTTTGCTTTTACAGGATGTCTTTAATTCTCCCAGTAACATTATTAGAGAACTGAAGAGGTCGAAACCACCAAGAGGACCAAGGGTGGGGAGGGGGCCCAACCAAATGAAAACCTATCCAGAGCGCTTTTTCGCTTAGCTTGTGTTTTCTCTTAGAGAACAGAGGATACTTTCAAAAGGAAGAAATGCTACAGATGTGACATTTTTAAAAAGCTCTGGCCCATGCCAAACTGTCCTCCAGCTTGAGAACCATCACCCATCTTTGCTCTCACCCCTGGAGACTATCACTCCGCTCAGCAGGGAATCCCGCCCACTTGTTATTTGTATGATTGCATGACTCTGGCTTGAAAAAGAAAACATCTGCTAAAACCATGAAGGAACAAAAGCCATTGGCACGAACTGCCAGATAGGAGACAATTGGCCTTCTCTTATGGGATCAGAGTCAGAAATCATTCTTTCTGGGACTGTGTGGAACATCAAACCTCAGGACTTAAAAGTGTCACCTCAGGAATTCACAAACTCCAGAATGCGTGTCCAGCCTCCAACCACTTTCTGAGACTGAAGATAAATTGTAGGAACCCATCCACATCACAGCAAACGCAATCAAACAGGCTTTGAAAAGGCACAATGAGCCTTGCAGAGAGAGTACCCTTTCTCTTTTCTGCCTGCCAAACGTGTGGCCTTTCTGCACAGAGCAAGTGTCCTTCTAGTGCCACCAGGAGGCCACTTACATTAAACACCACAGTCCTGCCCTGGCTTTTAGCCTCTGATTGCATGAAATCAGCCCCTGACTACAGTGGACTAAAAATGACTTGCACACAACCGAAGGTAATGGTACAACTGTTTAAACTGAGCATCAATCCACCTGCGACACTGACCCTGGCTAGGAATTTACTCCCCGACATGAATGTACAGGTAACCAGGGGATGCTTTGACAATGAGAAGAAACTGTTTCAATTACTGACTTTTTAAAAAAATAAATTAATGAATAAATGAATAAATAAATAAACGACTTATCTCTGGAGACTGTGGTGGTAGCTGAAGGGAAACTTTAATCTTAGATCCTCGACTAAGTCATATAGAGTGAACACAGATGAGTCCTGCTCCTATACCAGAATTCTCTCAAAAGTGCTGCCAGACTTCAAGCAAAAGCAATAGAAAAACATCCATACTTTCAGAATTAGGTTATGATTCACTTTACCAAAGGTCCATTAATTTTACTAATTTACTTCTAAACTCCTGCAAATAACATTAGCTCTTTGAGTGCATTTCTAATTGGATTAGAGCTGTAAAATTTCAAACTAGACACAACTGTCAGACAGAAAATCTGAACTACTCATACAATTAGCACAGGTCCCTCGGCTAGGAGGCCTAGAAGTAAGACCCTGCGTGGAGATGACACGCCCTTAATCTAATGATGCCACACTTTTAGCACATCTCGCATTTGCTTTTGATGCTTCAGCATTTGTAAAACTGTCTTTGGTGCTAATAAAACAAGTGTGATGCGAGCTTAACGCAGAATCACATAGCGTTTTCACTGGCAGGTGGCTTTAGAGGTCAAAACCTCCCTTCAAGGTCAGGGGCCCCACAGGCCCAGGCCTGCTGCCTCTGCTAGAGCACATTCTCTGACAGGACATGGCAACTTTTCAAGGCTCCTATGTGTTTGCTCCTCAAGTTCAATGGAACAGGACCTTGTAGGGAACAGTGAACACTTACAGATGAGTAAGTGAAGTTCACGGTACATGAACGGGGCAGCACTTGGCGAAAGCACACTTTTATCTGAGTCACCTCTGTTCTGCCGGAGCATTTGGTCCCCTTACCTTTCCATTTCAAATGTTCGAAGTAACTTCACCTTCACCTGAATTCTTTCCACTACGCTATCCTCAGATTTATTACCTAATTCAGAAGAATGGCAGCACCAAAAATCCCAAATGCTTATGATAAATGTCTTGCAAACCACCTACCAGCTCACAGTAGCACATCCGCCTGCCTAAGGACATGCTGAGTATGCCCTAAACTGCATGGAAACAGTGGAGAAAAGCACCTTGAACATCAAAAATGGGACTGGATCCGGGTCAACAGAGACATAGGCTAACAAGTGATCAACAGCTATCTGTGGAAGGCCATTTTGGTCTTATTGCTGGGCTGGTTACTATGATGGAATAGAAAAAATTCATCAGATGTGGGTCTTTGCTGTCAAAGATCTTTCACCAACAGGCTCACTGGGGAGACAAGACAAATAGACAAGGCCAAGGAATAAATCGTTAAACTAACATTTAGTTTCTGAATTGAAAGAGAAGAGGGATAATTTGTGGATTTGCTAATTAGCTCTGTGCCATGCCCGTTAGCCCTGAGTGGCTCTTCCACGGCTTAACCTGGCTTCAGGGATATTTCATCAAGGCCTCTCTTGATTCCTCCGCATTTGTAGCTGACGTCCCTGCCTACCCCTGGTTTCGAACAGAAGCCCCTCGGTGTGGTGGCTGCTCTGGCTCTTTCCCATTTTATGTGAAGCAAAAATGAAAGTCAAACACTTTCAACACCTATCCTGTATTAGTTCCCAAATTCTCCATGCCAACATGGAAATAAGCTTCCAAAACCTAAAAAAAGCATTTTCATAGAAATAGATGTTAAGCAGTTTTAAATACTTACAGTCCCTTTCGCACCCAGTTGCCAGTTTCCTCGTGTGTAATGTTAACTGGAGGAAAAAAAAAGGGGGAAAGAAAAATAGTCCAAAGTGAGTAGCAAGTGAAAGCTGAAAGCAAACACAAGGAAGACATGTATATAAAGCGTCTGCATGAATCCCTAGCTCTCCCTCTTAGACTATGACCTTCCAGGACTCGATTTCACACTAAACACAGCAGAGGTGTCTGAGGCAAAGGAGAGAAGGAATGAAGCGTTTAAGGTACATGCTAGGAGATAGTGACCCCATCTTTGTCCTGAGCAAATCCATGTCAACACCCCCCCTTTGCAGATGAATAAAAGCATTTTAAAATAAAAAGTCACCATATATTTTGATGTTACAAAGATAAATCCCCCAGCTGTTTTATGTAGCTTCAGGAGGAAAGTACTTCCAAAGCCTTTTCTCAGAACATAATAGCAGACTCTACAACAATACGTTGGGCACTAAACCCAAAATAATATTATATGGAAGGTACAGCACATTTCCCACTTCTTTTAAGACCTGGGGGACTTAGTACAACCTCTTGGAAATACAAAATTAGGTTGAAGCAAATAAACTCTTTAAAGATTTTTTAAATAATTAACAGGTGCTGCTTCAATCTGTCTGAAGTTATTAAAACTGAAGAGAATCAGAGAGATTTTTAACTTGGGGGTCAATTAACAACACTGGGTTTAATTCTTCATTCTATAAAAAGGTAAAATGTTATCAATACTAAATAATTGTTGAAAATAGAATACTATAATGTGTAAATGAACATTAAAATGTATTAGGTAAAAATATTTCAAGTTTGGATCCCAAGAATCACAATTAGGGACTAGAGGGTCCCTTATTTCGCAAAACTGAAGGAACATACAAAAAGAATTTTTTTTTTTTTTTTTTGAGACAGCTGTGCCCTCTGGAGGTGGCACTTGGGAATTGAATAAGTCTTCACTAAATGAAGAATAACATCTTTCCTCAAGACTTGACCACGCACTTGGAAATGCAAAGACGACTTAGAAAGTTTCATCCGTGCTCCCTGCTTTGCATCAAGCCACTTTTCAACCAACACTAATTCAGAATTTCACTTCGGAAGTGCTCAAATGGGTGCGAAAGCTTCTGGGAGAAGGAATGAAGAGTTTGTGTTCCATCTCTGGAATCGGACGGTTAGGGGCAAGCTGGATATGAGAAGCAAGCACGGGTCTTGGGAATGCAGCGATCTCAGAGCTCTCTGGGTGGCCTGCGGGCAGCAGAGGGCCTCCCCTCCCGGTTCCACACCCACCCTCCCGGGAAGCCCATGCGCCCCTCCTGTCGCCTGGGAATCAATTCACCTCCTCTCGCAGTTTTCCTTTGACCTGTTTCTTATACTTCATTCCAAATAAATGGAGCTCAACGTCCCCGTCTAGAGAACATCTCTCTCCAGTTGGAGAAAGAAGTGTTTCTTGTGGGAGTTTTAGAGACAGAAAGTACTAAAGTTGGCTTGGTGCGTTTGGAATTTCAATAGGAAAATATACATATATATAAAAAAATAAATGACGTTTAAAAATAAATGAATGAATGAATAGAAGGATATCATTATGGGGAGGGGGAATTAAAAACAAAAGAACCCCAAGAGTGGTCCGTACCTGGGCAACCCAGAACGCAGCCGCCACCTCTAAAGAGGAAACGAAGCCGCCTCCTTGATTGCAAAGTGGCCTTGGGTGTGGGTGGAGGTGTTTCTGCGAAAAGATTGGGGAAGAAGCTGAAAGAATCGCGGGGGACCGGGGGGTAATTGCCATCGGCCAGGTGAAGCCCAGGCTCCCCAAGAGCAGCGGCTGCGGTCGCCTCACAGGTCCCTGCGCCGGGCGGGGCTGCGCGAGGTTCTGGAGAAGCGCAGCCGAGGTGATGTCCCC